GTTCTCATAAGGAGGGGTGGCACCCTCAGGAGGCTCCAGACCTGCCCCACGTAGGGCCAGGGCATCCAGCAAAGGGCAGATAGGACTTTGCTGGAACGAATGCCTTCTGCTGATCCCAGCTTCCTGTGCACCCCCAGGGGAAGAAGCCCCCGCTGGATGCCTCTGGGTATTACTCATGAACAAAGGCCTGTCAGGGACTGGCAGGCCCTCTGGGGGCTGATTCAGGCCTGGCTGTGCCTGTGAGGGGGGCGGAACTGGCAGGTCTGAAGGACAGGGCGCAGTCTCTTTCTCAGGGGTTCTCTAGGGACAACAAATCTAGGGCCAACTTCATTGCAGACAATCAGGGTCTCTCTCTCTTTTTTTTTTTAATTTAAATTTTTTCTTTTACATTTAAAAACACATACTCCTTGGCCTTAAAACTCTTTCTTTAAATATACTTTGAATTTCTAGCAATAAGCAGGTATAGGTTATTTATTTATTTATTTATTTATTTATTTATTTATTTATTTGTCATGAGTCAATATGTAGTTTATTTAGTCCTTTTTTTGCCCCCACCTCATCACATATAAAATTTCCTCATACTCATTTCTAAAGCTACAAGGTCCCAGGGCCTTCTGATAATTGTCCAAAAGTTTTACCTCTCTCCCTCATTCAAACTGTTACATACACCCAGGAGGTGCCATCCCAGGAGGCATTGAGACTCTTTCAGACTCATTCCTACGCTGGGTTAAGATCCCAAGAGTTAAATTGTGTGTGTTGCCCTAGCTCAGTGGTTGACAAACTCATTAGTCATCAGAGCCTAATATCAGCAGTACAACGATTGGAATTTCTTTTGAGAGCCAAATTTCTTAAACTTAAACTTCTTCTAACGCCATTTCTTCAAAATAGACTTGCCCAGGCCATGGTATTTTATGGAAGAGCCACACTCAAAGGGCCAAAGAGCTGTATGTGGCTCATGAGCTGCAGTTTGCCAACCACGGCTCTAGCTTGTTTGGCTCAGTGGATAGAGCGCCAGCCTGTGGACTGAAGGGTCCTGAGTTTGATTTCGGTCAAGGTCACATGCCTGGGTTGCAGGCCACATCCCCAGCAGGGGGAGTGCAGGAGGCAGGTGATTAATGATTCTCCCTTATCTCTGATGTTTCTCTCTCTCTCTCACTCTCCCTTCTTCTCTAAAACCCATAAAAATATATTAAAACAACAACTGTGGGTGTCTAAGGGCCTGATTATGTTTGAATCTCACCACTAGCTCCCCCAAAACTTCTTGGAACTTTTAGTGGTCGGTGTTAGAAACAATGCTTAGTCACTCGCTGGCCCCTCCACTCTTGGCAGTTTATGATTGAACATTCAAATTGTTTCTTATGTTGTTGCAGTTGTAAACCTGTGTTTCTGTCAATACCTTCCTGCTCCCACCCAACCCGCCCGCCTTCCCCCTTCCCCCACCCCCGGCTTTTTTCTTCTTCCCAGAGGCCTATTTTGTACCTTTGCTTAGGAAAGACTCGCTCTCTTTGGTTCAGATTCCATCCTACAAGGCCCTGCTCAAATGCTGCCTCCTCCCAGAAGCCTTTCTCCCACCCACACTTGGAAGTAAGCTCCTCTGCATCCCTACCTGCTGTTTGTCTAAGTACCACAGCACACACACTGGGTGGCTTGGGACCGACAGACATGTGTTTCTCAGAGGTCTGGAGGCTGGAAGCCCGAGGTCAGGGTGCCAGCATGGTCAGGCTCTGTGATGACCCTCTTCTGGGGCCGCTTTTATAAGAGTGCTAATGCCATTCGCCCTCATGACCAAATTACCTGCCAAAGGGCCCATCTCCTAATACCATCATATTGGGGGTTAGGATTTCAACATATAAGTTTGGGGGGACACAATCGCTTAGTGCATTGCACTCCTCTCTAGCAATACTCAACACATTCCGTATTCTAGTTGAGAACATTTTATATTCACATCTTATCTCCTTTATTAGACTCAGTGGTGTACTTCATGTATTTGAGACCCAGAATGGATCATTTTAATGGCCCTCTGCTCTATACAACAAAATTATTTTCAGTAATACTCATGCAAAAATCATCAATTATCACTATTTTCTTGATTTGTTCTTTAGTTTTAGAGCAATGAGCAATTTTAAAAAGATTACATTTCAATTTTAAAGATACTCAAATGCATTAAAAGTAGTTCCTGAAAGAACCAAATTTTTACTTACCAAACAAAATAGTATACTTCACAGTTTGCTGTAAAATTGTTTTACTGTTTTAAATGTTAAACACACAGACTCTACGTGTCACATTGGATAACGGAATTGAAGTTCTAGATTCTGTTTCTCTGTCTTACAATCGCTGTGCTATCGCTTTCCACTTCGTTTAAATGCAGGAACACGCAGTCAGGACCAGAGAGTGGGGACAGGAGATGACCTGGGTGAGTTGAGAGGACTCTGAGCAATGCCACATGGCCTCTTGCAATGAGCACACATCACCAAATCTGTGTCAGAGGTCAACTGCTTAACTGGGAGTTCTCTATAATTGTATTAATGGTGACGGAGAACATTGTATTTATTAAAGGGTAAGAAAATGTGTTCATTTGCAGTTTACATGTCTATGTATATAAAAGGCTAATAGGCAAAGTGTTCCCCTGGAAGTTCGACCAGGAGACTGAGTTCAATTGCTCGCTATGACTGTGCTGACCATGAGGGGGTGGTATGGAACAAAGGAAGGCCGAGGCTGGCAGCCAGAAGGCCCCTATTGGCTCTGATCGCCGGTCAGGCCTAGGGACCCTATCCGTGCATGATTTTGTGCATGCCTCTACCTCTAGTAGATTAATAAAACTCAACAATAACCAGAGCAGTTGTTTATAATGTTGACCAAAGCAACTATTTTGGAGGGGAGCAGTTTTCTGTTTATTACTGACATAGGTTAGAACTGTGATCATGAAAGAAATATCAACTTTTATCTCCCCCAGATAAGAGATCAACCGAAGGACTTGTATACATGCATATAAGTACAACCAATGGACACAAAACTTTGGGAAGGGTGGATATGTATGGGGGGGGGGCAATGGTAAAATATGTACACAGATAATAATTTAATAAAAAATAAAATTAAAAAAAATAAAATTTCAAACAGCAAAAAAGAAAAGAAAAGAAAAAAAAAGAAATATCAACTTTTAGTAAGTTCTGTGATTGCATGTACGTTCGTTATGGATGGTGGTCCTCTTGTTGCCAGCTTTCGGGGCAGATGGCTCCCATCTTCAGCCCCTGATTGGACACTGAGCCCTGAAGGGCAGGGATAGCTGTGCAGTCACTGATGTACCTCCTCTGCGTGAGCACAGCGGTCTGAATGTGAGCGAGTACATCGCATCTCTGAGGATGCCCTCCCTTTTCCTACCTATGAGGCTGATTTCCTTCATGCACGTCAAACAAAGCAACACGGCACAACCGATGGGGAAAGAAACGGATGGAAGGACTCAGCTGTCTTCCCTTAAGCCAGCCATGTCTCCTCTGAAAACCAGTCTGGGCCAATCGACAGCAGAATAGACAAATGGAGGGTGGTGTTCCACACCATGGAACACAACAACGAACAGCGACCAGAGTCACCAGCACACACACAGCTGCAGGCACGAAGGTCACCACCATAATGTTGGTGAAAGAAGGCAGAACCATAAGAGCACATGCCGTATGCGCCTATTAACAAAAAGTTCCACAAAAGGCAAAATAGTCTGTGTGAAGGCTCCAGGGCCGCACAAGAGAGGCTTCTGGGATATGGATCGGGATTGTGAAAATGTATTAAGCACTTGATGACATAGGCACTTTCCATTGGTGGGTGTCATACTTAATAAACAGCAAACAAACAAAACAACATTCCAAACCAAAGTTCAAGACTGCCCCTTTAGCAAAACACTGCACACCCAGGGAATAAAGATCATCAGCAATCTGGCCTGCGTGACTCTAAGTTATTACCTTTATTTTAGAATATGGCTTTGTAAATTGGATGTGTATGCAAAATAGTTAGCATTAGTGGCTGGCACATGAAATTCTCGGTGGATGGTAATAATTAATATTAAGTTATTAACTGATCTTGGGTTCAGAATCACCATTAAATAAAAGAACAGCCCTATTTATTAAAAGAGAAATAAGGGTTCTGGAATTTTCAAGTACATTCTGGTTAGTAAATTCCTAATTCTCCGTGTTCTTTGGAGCCTCCTTCAAACCTAGTCTTTGAGGAAAGAAAAATCTAAGCCTCTAATTTTAGCCTCTAATCTTAGCATTACCAATTTCTCAGCAGTAACCAGCACAAAAACAAAGTCCCATATGCCAGGCTTATCTGGCCACATTGTTTGATTCACTCTATCTATTGTTTGCTGATCCTGCGCACTGTTCAGTCAGGAAATCTGGAACCCACCTACCTGGTCAAGCATTTGGATCCCTTTGGCCATCAGTCTAGTTTGTGAATTCAACAGACCAGACAGGCACGATTGCTGGTGGATTCCCCAGACTCAAGAATAAAACTTGGGCAGGAACAATGTAGTCTAGAGAATGTGCAATGGAATCTGTGCATTAGACCTGACGGGAAGCAGGACTTTACACGTTCCTTTCTTTTCTGAGTGAGCTAGCGCTGAGACAACCTCAGCAAAACAGAGCATTCCACTGCAAGCTGTGCTTCCCAATTCCAAATCAGATGCCAAATTAACATGCAGGAAGACAGGAAATTCTTTCGGAGTGTTCTCCACGATAGATGAATCTTTCTGAACCAGATGAGCAAGAGACTTCAAGGCCAGCTCCAAGTGCTTTTACAAGACTTCCACTCCCAGAGCGGTTTCCTAAAATGCCAGTTGTTACGAGGAGACTACATGGCCCTGTGACCTGTCACGCCACTAACAGAACAGTTGGGTAAGCTACGAAGCCAGCTCTGTCCCACACAGTCAGGAACACGTGGACACTTGTGACATACATTAAAAAATAAAAATAAAAAAATCCATGCCCATCTCCAGAGAAGAGGCAGGCTCTTACCTAGTCCAAGGCTTTGTCCAAAGGCACTTGATTGGATACAGATGCTCAAAAGCAAGAAAATGGAGACACACAGGGGACTTCCCATTTCTCCTGAATCACCCAGGGTCCAGGTCTTCTTGCTAATTTCTGAAGCAAAAGAGACCAGATTGCCTATTGATACTTTGTTAGGAAAGGCTGCCCATTAATAATTAACCTTTAAACACATTATCTAGTGTTCAGACATTCCTTGCTACTCCAGACCCCAAATCTAAGTATATCTAATACAAAATAGAGGTTGATTTACAAAAGTATTTTTTTTAATCCTGATACATGTTGAAAATAAAACATCTTGCCGTGTACTCTTACCTTCTTAGGCCAAGGTCACGGTTCCAAATGAATCAGTTTAAAGTTAATGTGTGTGTTTGGAAACCCTGCCAGAGGTCAGGGTAGGCGACGGTTGCCCAAGTCCCCCTGACAGGACTACAAAGGGGTTGCAGGCTCATGGCAGTGATGTTTTAAATCGCAGGCTAAGCCCAAAGAAAAAGCAAAGGGCTCTGCTCTGCAGAGAGCTCCCAGGCTCTGTGTTTGTTGGGTTGGGCAAACTTGCTGGTGCCTGTGGCCAGCGTGGTGGGGCCATGTTTTTAAAACTGAAAGGGATAGAAAACCTCTAACCTCAGTGTACGAAGCAAAGAGGCCTTGCTGGATGTCTTTGCTGGAACCCCATGAAGAGATGACTTTAAAAGAAACACAATTTTCACTCCTCTGTGTTAACTCATGTGCCAACTGTGAGGAGGACTAAGGAGTAAGGCCACTAGGCCAAACCAGGCTGGGAAAATGCTACTGTGCATGACTCTCATAATATTCCTTGGTCTCTAATTTTATTTTACCTTTATTCATTTGTTCAACTTTTTTTTTTCATACCTCCTGTATGCCAGGCACTATTCTGGTCTTTGGGATATTCAAGCAAACAAAACAGACCATGATTCCAATCCTTATGAAGCTGATATACTCTTGAGTTGTAAGGAGTCAAATAATGGACAATAGACACAATAAGTAAGATGTTTATGTAGAATGCATTAAGAACTATGGAAAAATAAAAAGGTTAGCAGAGTTAAGGTGGTGGGAGAAGGTAGTGATTTTAAATAGAATTGCAAGTTGAACTTTAAGAAAAAGTTTTAGTGAGCTACCTCTGCGGGAGAAGAGAGCCGAGGCAGCCAGGACAGTCGGTGTATCCAGTGCAAAGATCCTGAGGTAGGAACATGCTCGGTATGTCTCAGGAACAGCAAGGAGTCCAGTGGTTAGGGAAGTGTCATCAAAAGAACTTTGGCTTTTACTCTATGAAACATGGACAACTATTCTGAGCAGAAGCCTGCAATGATTTGTATTATATTTTAAAAAGATCATCCTGGTTTGCAAGACTAGAAACAGATTATTAGTTAGGGAGCAAATGGGGAAATCTGTTAAGAGGCTATTGCCATGGTCCAGCAAGAGGTGATGGTGGGTTGATTCAGCACAGTAGCAGTGGAGTGGTGAGTGGGTGCTGGACATATGTTAAGGTTAATGCAGAAGGATTTCCTAACTACTGGGTTATGGGATGCGAGCGAATGAGAAAAGTTGAAGATGACTTCAAGGAGTCGGGCTTGAGCGATGGGTCAATGGGGTTGATATCAGCTGAGATGGGAAGGCCGTGAGTGGAGCAGGTTTTGGGGGGCGATTAGGAATTCAGTTTTTACCTTTGGAGTTCGACGTGTCTCTGAGACACCTAAAAGGGTAGACAGATAACTTGGTGATCATTGCCCACCAAAAGATGACAGACAGGATGTCTGTAGCCACCAGCAGGTTTGGATAGATCAGCCCAAGGCCAGAGCCTATCACAGTGCTGTCTTATGTCTGCACCTCCTTCCAGAGGGCTGCAGCGTGGGGATCACCCATCAGGTTTCTGGCCTGGCTCCCTCGCTGACTCTGTCCTACCCTGCACCGTAAGCATGACCTTAAAAAGGTTCCATTTATGTCTATTTCCCAGAATGTTGGAACCTAAAACCAGCTGAGTATGCATGTTGGCCTCCTCTTCTCTGGGCCCACCTCCATCTCATGTCCTCTGGGTACTGCCAGGACCCCCACCCTGCTCTGCAGATGAACCTACTAAAATGCAGTCCAACCAAGTGCCTCCAATGATCCTGGGTCTACTGTCTACTGGGTCTACTGTCTACTGTCTACTAGTTATGCTTTTGCTATGAGACCTCAATGGGGTCCATCCCCTCACCTGTAAAATGGGATAACATGAGCTGGAAACAATATTTTGAGACATTAACTTAATATTATTTTTCTCTCATCTTCCCCTTGCTCTCCTTCCCACATAAGAAAAGCAAAGTAGAGAGAAGTCTACAAATATTTTGTCTTCCCAAAACTTAGAACCTAGGGTAAGGGAATTTATTTAACCTACAAAGGCAAGCAAATGGCTCTCAGATGTCTTAAAAATACGTAAAAGAATAATGAATACCTCACCTACCTTCCCATCACTAGAAAGAGAGTTTTTGTTTGTTTGTTTATTATTGTTTTTTTTGTTGGTTTTTTTTTTTTTTTTTTCTTTGCAAGTGGGTGGGGGAGGGAGAAATTGTCCATGAGTCCTTACTTCCTAGGGACTCTGCTAGTGGTGGTAAGAACCCAGGGAGAAAATGGCTATGTGTGCGCTGGCGGCTTGGCAGAACATGTCCCTGTGCCTGGCATGGGGTGGGAGTGAACCTCGGTGCCAACAGGTCATGTAAATGGGCAGAACCGACCCCTCAGTGGCCACCTGTGTGGACTGATGACAAAAGACCAGGTGCTCACTCCCAACCAGGCCTGGTATTGTGTCTGAGCCAGAACTACAGCATAGCTGGGTGGGGTGGGGAGAAGGGATCCAGGAGGGCCTGAAACCTAAGAGTTTAGACTCGTAATTCAGATGGATTAAAGAAAATAAAGACATTGCTTGCACAGCAGAATTTGTAGGCTGAGATTCACACCTCTGTAAACACAAGTATAGCCTGACAACTCAAGATTTGTATGTGACGTGTCCAGCCAAATACTTGTTTCATGGTAGAAGTTCAATAAATTATAGTGACTTATTTTAGAGTAAATTTGCTTAGGGCTCAAGAGTCCAGATTTTGAAATCAGACAGATCTAGGTTCAAATCCCTGGCCTATCACTTACTAACTGGGTGACCTAGAGCGACATTCATGCTCAGAACTTGACTTTTCTCTATCTGTATAATGGGATTAATAATACCTACTTGATCAGAGTAAAGGAGGTAACCTAAAGAGGTAAAGCCCTTAGAAATTCTGGCAAGAAGAAAGTAAAAATGGCAGCTATCATTATTATTTTTACTGTTTTTAATTCACTTTTGGGAATGAATTAAAAACAGTAAACAGATAACAGCAGGGTCACAATTCAAATTCTCGCAGAAAATGAAAAGATTAGGAAAACAGATCTGGACCAGTCATTCAAAAGTCTAATTGAGCATTGGAGTCAGAGTCAGCTAATAGTTCAGGAAGAGGAGGAGCTGTGGGCCTACTCCAGAAACAGCTGGATCAAAACTTGTAGGGTTGGGGCCTGGAGAACCTTCATTGTAAACAAGTTCTCCAAATTGTTCTTAGTTATTTGAAGTTTGAGAACCATTGCTTGAAAGTGGTGCTTGAGAGGTCTACTGGGATTCAAGAAGAAAATAATATTTCTTTCAGATTTTCCTTATATTATATGTTAGAGGCATTTAGTGTCTCCTCCAAAATTCATATGTTGAAACTTAACCCCCCAGGTGATGGTATTTGCAAGTGGGGACTTTGGGAGGTAAGAAAGTCATGAGGGTAAAGCCCTCATGAATGGCATTAGTGCCCTTGTAAAAGGGACCCCAGAGAGATCCCTTGCTCTGTCCTCCATGGAGGTTACAATGAGAACATGATCATTTATCAGCTGGGGCCTTGATCTTGGACTTCCCAGCCCGCAGTACTGTGAGAAATGAATTTCTGTTGTTTGTTAGCCACACAGTCTATGGTATTCTATTATATCAGCACAAACAGATTAAGACATCACTTTGGGAAATTTTGTTTGTGTATTTATAATGTTTACAATATATTCACACTATGTAATTTATATATTGTACTATATAATATCTGAGTGCTAGATATATATATATGCTTAAGTGACCATTACAACTGGACAACCAGATGAACAACCAACCAGCTGGTAGCTATTATATGATGCACACTGACCACCAGGGGGCAGATACTCAATGCAGGAGCTGCCCCCTGGTGGTCAGTGTGTTCCCACAGCCAACCTCCCATGGCCCCTCCCCCTGGCTGGCCCTGATTGGCCTGATCGGGACTGGGTGAGATGGCCCTGATTGGTCCTGTTTGCCTGCCAGGCCAAGAGACCCCACCTGTGCATAAATTCGTGCACTGGGACTCTAGTGTAGTTTATAAGCAAATAAACAACCATATATTTTGGAAGGGACATTCAAAATATTTTTAAAAAACGGATAAAGGTACTCCATTAAGAAGATGTGAAGATTCTCCCATAGAGGAATAGAGTGGCCCCCAGGCCTTCATGATCTGACTCCATCAATACTTTGGAACAGTCTTTGAATCAATTAGTGAGATCTTTAGTTATTTCCACACTCAAGAAATCCCAGTGGTTTATGGAGGACCTTTCATTTTTTCATGAGCTGAAAAAGAGGCAGGTCTGAGTCCCAGAACGGCTAGAGCCTACAGTAGTGTTATCAACGCTGCCCATGGTAGTACAGCCCAGTGGTTTTTCTCGTCTGCACTCTTCAGTCTAAAATTACATAGGTATTACAGCTAGAATCTTAAAAAACTATCCCACTTTTGTTCTCTTTTGAAGAGCTTCTTAAAGAAATAGAGATTTTTAGAGATTGGCATTTGATGACCTGAATGTCGCTTTTCCCTTTAGTGTAATGGTGATAAGAAAGTTAATCAGGAGAAGAGCAATCAATATTTTACACAAGTAAACGAGAGCAAGTCCCAGAAGGGAGAAGCCAAGGGGAAGTTCACTGATGAGAGAGACAGGATTTTATATTTAGGACCAGATTTATTTGTGTTCATCTTCAGAAACTGG